AGTATTCTTAAGCCTTCACCCTAATCTTGAAAAACCTACCTTCTACCACATCAAGAAGATCTGAAATCATCAAGTAGGAACTCCTTCAAATTCTAATACCTTCCCCTTAAAGATGAATCTATTTCCATCTCTTGAACCTGGGAGGTGGAAGTTGTGGTGAGCCGAGATGGCGTCATTGCACTCCAGCCTGGGCAACAAGAGCGAAACTCTGTCTCAAAAAAAAAGTCTATCTCCATAATCAGTCTTATCTTTTTAGTGTCACATGAAGAGTTCTCTCTCTTTGTTCAATGTCACCTTGTAAATGTGATGTCTTTCTTAGTCCTCCTTTAAAGTGTTTCAACCCCTAACCTGGAATTTTATGTTTTCACTTTCTCTCTCAAGACTTAATCCTCATCAACTATAACAGGGTCCAGTCTCTGTCATTTTAAAAGTTACCTTTCTTTTAATTTATTTTCCTCTCAAGTGTGCTTAAGCATGTTTGTGCTGAAGACCCTTTGAGATCTGATGAAGCCTATTGATCCTTTCTTGGAATAATGTTTGTAAACAAATAAGATATTTAGGTTTATCAAAGAATCCAGTTATATCGGTACAGTCAGCAATATAATAACAATAAATAATAAAGTAATATACATGCTTATTCATCGATGCTCCAATGAACAAGTCTAGACTCAGATCTAGTAACTACCATAATTTTAGAATCAAGTTCCCAAAATTCCATCCATGGATATCATGGAGGGAGCATGAACTCTCTGCTCCTCTCTTCACCATCACCATTCTTTCTAATTCTTGAATTCGTTTTCTGCCTTGCTGGGATCTTGCTTCTGCCCTACCTTTCTTTTGATCTTATCTTGGAAAGGACCCCCAGTGATGCCCCACATGTTGTATAATAGCACTTCAATCAGTTCACATCTGATCTGATCTTTGGAATCCACACTGTGAATATTCTTACCATGCGGAAAACCTCTCCTCCTTTCCCCCTCCTTCCTCAGCTGGCTGATAGCTAAAACTTACTACTTCCTAATCATTGTGTCTGCTTCCCTGGTCTCTACTCACCTTGCTTAGTTTACACATGGCTCTAAAATGTTTGCATCAAAGATAGCATGTCTTAATCACCCATTCTTTGAGGATAAAAAGACTTAGATGAACCTAAAAAGGGAGGGGAAATTAATGTTAACAGAGTACTTGACATGATAGCATCATGAGAAGTACTCACCACGTGATGTTTTATTCACATTTTCCAGTGATTCATGAAGGTTGTTCCCACTTTGGAGAATATACTTGAGTAAATTGATATTCAGAATCAGAAGTAACTTTCTCAAAGTCACATCACTGGGGTGGTAGAGCCAGGATTTAAATCCAGTTCACTGAAATTAGGTTTTCTATATGTCATAATGTTCTCTCCATCTGAGGTCACACCTGCTTTGTTTAGGCAAAGCTTGGCTTGGGAAGTGAACAGGGGAGAAGAGCAGGGGTACAGGAAGCATAGTTCTGACATTTCTGCTCAACGTCAGAGCCACCTCACTCCAATACCTAGAAAGTGTGTGTTCCAGCCTCGTGGGGACAGCTCAAAACCAAAGCAACAAACAAGTCAAGTCTCTTTGAGCGTCTGGCATAAGCTCAAAGGACACGTTTTTATGAAGGTCATTTCATCAGTGCAGACAGGCAACCTGGAAAACTTAGTCCCACTTCTACCAAAACCATTTTCTTTGCAAAAGGATATTTCTGTCAGATGATGACCTAAATTTCCCTCCTTGGTTCACTATGGAAGGTACAGGCTTGCCATGTCCATTCTCACTCAAAACAATTAACAAGATGGCCAAACGGAGGGTACAGTTTTGACACCATCTGGATGGCCTGGCAGTCCTCCTTCAGGTCAACCTGCTGGGGAGATCTGCAAGCTCCACGCACCTCAATGGCTTTTGTCACCAATCCTCTGCTTGTTGGTTGTTGATGACGGTGGGGAGCCTCATCTTTTGCAGAGAATGGAAGTTGGGGGGAATAAAAGGAGCTCAGGCTGTGGCGTTCATGCAGGACAGGCGCGCCCCAGAACTGAGGAATTCAAGCACCAGCCGGTGGTGTTAAACAGCGACTTTTATTAGACAGTAACTTTTATTGACGCGGCAGTGTACAGCAACCGCAGAGACACTTATGCTCCTTGCAGCAGGGCTGCCTCATGGGCAGTGAGCCCAGAGTGGCAGCTCAGAGGCAACGCCGAACTCTTATTTCCACCAATGTTTAATTATATGCAAATGAAGAGGGAATTTATACAGAAATTTCCAGAATCAGAGTGGTAACTCCCAGGTGGTTGGGTCATTGCCATGGAAAGAGGTTGTAACTTCCAGGTGCTGCCAAGGCAATGGTAAACTGACATGGTGCGCTGGTGGGTGTGTCTTAGAGAAAGCTGCTCCCACCAGGGACCTGTTTTAGCTAGTTCTCAATGTGGTCCAGTGTCAGAGCCCAGACTCCTGAGTCCAGTCCCACCTCTTACATAAGAATCAGCCACATCCAGTTGGAAGCTGCCCTCTACCATGTGGAATTTAAATGTGCTATATACTCTCTCTGCACTTTAGATCCCTGACTATAAAGAACAGTTAATAAAGCCTGTTTTCATAAAGTCATTTGGGGATAGAGTAAAGCAACAAACCTGAAGTGCCCATAGCTGTTTGTTAGACAGAAGGCACTGGGTGAAGCTTAGATTATTTCCCCTCTAGTCTCTTAATATTTTTATCATATAATTAAGAGTCAGTGAAAATTGTCATAGACAGATAAATAGACACACACACACATGCATATATACCTGTCAGTATTTAAATCTCACATAAAACTCTAATTTCAATATAGAAAATAACTTTCATTGATTCTTGGACAAAAATAAATAAAATATTTTTTATTAATGCATGACATTCTTTTTAATACACTGACTTCAGTCAAGCTTTTACGTTTTTTTTTTGGTATAATCTAAAAGTTTCTCTTTTTTTCCTACATCCCAGTGCCATGCAAAGTGGGACATTTAGTAAATGCTTTTGATGATGATAATAGGTTTACCATTTTAAAGCATGGATAATTTGAGTCATAAAAAGGTTAAATAGCTTGCTTGAAACTATTCCATGCTCCCTTTCAGCCTGAAAGCCTGGACTCTAAGGGTATTCATCTCTCCCTGTGTCATAGTCTTTGATACTTTATAGATAATTGATAAACAAAGTCATTTCTTTTCTCAACAAAAGCTGTGTCTTCCTGGCTAAATTAAAGTTTTGGTAATCCAATTTATTCTCTTAACCCAATAGAGCAAGCTATTGATTTCATTTTCATTTTCAATCATGAAAACCTTGTCACATTTCCTTCTTGCTCTCTGAATTATTAGGTTTCTGTTCTTGTTTCCACATGCATTATATGCACAAGTCAAGTGTAACCTGAAAGATATTAAAGCGGATTTGCAGTGAAATGGCACCTATCTAGGAAATTTGTCTTATTGCCTCTTCATTCCTCTTTTGTTTAACGTGCTTCTTGGTATTTTCCTAGGACTCTGCTGGTGCTGCGTGATGGCACATTTCTGCTGACAGCCCTGAACTTTCAGACAGATTCTCTGTGAATCAGGTGAGAGGTAGTCTTTAATTAACGCCCTAAGACTGTAATGGAAACAAAGAACAGGAAGGTTGTAAGATGGATCTGGCTGTCAAAACAAAATGAAATAAAAATCCCAAAGTGCTCTGCCCCGGCAAGCAGCACTCTGTCCGGCACTGAGCTCTCTCCCACTCTCTGCAGAAATAGGGGCCTAGACCTGAACCTGGAGACCACAGAGGAAAATTTAATATGGAAGAAAGCAATGAAACAACTTTCCACAGAAATTCTCTACCCAGAGCACCCTAGTGCCTCATTCCTGCCTCTATCATTAGAGCTGCCTTCAAATCCCCAATGATCTTAAAGTCCCTTGGAAGGGCTTGAAAGCTTCTCAGGTAATTATGGCCTTGTGAGAAACAATCAAGCTGGAAAAAAGGTATTTCTAAAAGAATCCCTAAAGTAAGTCCCCACCATCGTATCTGTTCTTTAGAGCTGTAAGAGAAATTCATGTTACACTTTAGGGAAACCTCTTTGGTAAAATAGCTTGAATGTCACAGCCCAAGGCTAGAATTCTCTTTCTTTAGGAAATAATATATTTCAGAATCAGCATATGACTTTGAACACAGCCTGGTAAATCCAGTTTTGTGCAACAGAGAAATGTTAGCACCCGAGTTCAAGGACAGCCGAGGCTTTAGTGCTTTCTTGTACATCCCTCCTTGTCCAGAATGCGTGCCGCCCTTCTTTCTGATTCACTGTGTTCTATTCCTCTTCTGAAAATTCATCTAAAACTTGGTCGTTTTAAGCAAACAGGTATTGTACACTTACTATCTGCTAGGCATTGTCCTAGTTGCTGGAGATACACGCATAACTTTAAAAAGCAAAAATCCCTGTCTTCATAAAAGAAAATTTTCTATTTTAATTTCGCAGAATTCAGTTGCTCCATTAAAGGTGCACATTTACACAAAAATATGCACTTGGCTCTGTCTTCCTTCTCTTCTCCTTCCAGGTATGCTGTCCCCTGGACCCCTGACTGTCCATTCATTGCCGTGCAGAGACTGCAGACTCTTTTTATTTCTCTCAGTGTCAGATACAAAGCCCTGCTCTCTATTGATACTCAAAATCCAGGCATTCAGATATTAACTAATCTCCCTAAGTGACATTCCTGTGACACACAGAGGAAGTGCTGTTGGCCTGCTATGTTATATGCTTGAAACTTGAGTTGGCGTTCTTAAATGGATTGACCAGGAAAACAAAGCAAGTGGTCAAGCTGAGACAAGATCATGTATCTTTGGTTTTCCATCCAAATTACAGAGCAAAAGAAAAAAAGGAAAAGGAGATTTTCCTTCCAAGCTTGCAAAAACTGCTGTAAGGATTGGATTTCATAAGATCCCAAGCCTATTGAAATATTGTCATTTGTAATAATAACACCTATATATGATTAGCACTTTGCATTTTTCATTTATTCATTCATTCAACAACAAATACCACCCACATGCTGGACTCCCAAGAAATGAGGCTGCAGTGGTAAGCAAGACAGATACAATGCCTGCCTTCAGGGGCCTGGTCTGTTTTCTTATCTGATTGTCTAAGATCTTTTCAGGAAGTTTGGTAACCTCTGTGATCCCTAGGCAGTGTAGCTTCAAGCTTAAGGCTCTGAAGGTTATTAACTGCAAAACACAAGGTAACATAATGAGCTCTTTGAGCTTTCTTATATGCATAATAGTGTTGGAAATACTATCCACCTGATGAGGTGTAGCAGTCAGGGTTCAGCATTAAGAGATTGCAGGAACTGGCTCACCCCATTGTGGCAGCGAAGGAAGTCCAAAGTCCTTGCATGGCACAGAGAAAGGTGATGAGCAGCTGAACCCCATGATCAGGAGCTGAAGCTTGCCATCTACCCACAGGCACAGTTAAGAAGGAAGATATGGAGGAAGGAGCACAGTCACAGGTCTAGCCACTGATGGGAATCTTTGAGCCCAAGGAAGAAGGCCTACAACCTCTTTTATTACAGTCCTTTTAACTGTTTTCAGGCCTACCTAGTATAATCTCACTTTTGATTAACGTAAAGTCAGTTGATTAAAGACTTTAATTATAACTACAAAACCCCTTTACAGTAGCACCTAGACTAGTCTTTGAATAGTGAAGACAAGGTACGTGTGTTGCAAAATAGCTGTGCCTCCAGCAACCTTCCAGCTCTCAGGGGAAAGAAAGAGGATGTTACTCATGGCCTGCCCTAACCAGATTACCTGAGAAAAGGAATTCCAGGTGACTCAGGATTAATAAAATCCTAGTCAAGGCGACACATCAAAAATCCATCATATGGGGTTATTGTGAGGATTAAGGAGGCCCTGTGTGTAAAACATCTGGAGTACACACAGTAACAAATTACCACTTAGCAGACAACCAAATTCAGCTCAGGAAGAAAAAAAAAAAGTAGTGCTTCTGTAACAGCTGGTTTGTAGACTTGAAATGACAATCTGGTTTTCCTCCATCAGAAACCTTTCTTCTTGCCATGATTTCTGTGCAACTTGTGCTGCTTTTCTAAACTGAGTCACAACACAGGTGCACACATTAAAAAAAAAAAAAAAAAAACATGCCACAGCTGTAAGTATAGGCAGGTTTGCAGTGAGATGGTCAAACACATCTAAGGTTCCCAAGCAAGTAAGTTAGGGCAGAGAGATCCCTGGCCTAAGATGGAACAGGGGATTATCACCCAGGTGAAGCCTCAGGTCATCTCACGCTGCAGGCTGTGTGCACCATACTTCTTCCCAAACAGCCCATCTCTTTGTGAGCTTCTAAAAATCTGACTCTCATGTAAATCTGCACTGTTCTCTCTCCTGATATGCTTTATCAACAGGATTTCTCACTGGAAATATTTTATTGCTTCCTTCAGGTGACTGTTGTTATTCTACACATTCAAAATTTGTAAAATACTTTCAAAGATTCAAGAGAAGTTAAGCTTGGGTAGGTTAGGGTAATATTTGCATGGTTAAAAATGAACAAGGAACACTATTTCTCCACCCACCATTCTTATAGTAAACAGACATAAAGTCACTTAGAACTTGAACAAACTGTCAACACAAATTAATTAACTTTCTCTAACTTTGGCAGTGAAACAGAAGTAGGAATTCACCTTGTCTAGGATCAGCCTCCTCCCTAGACATCATCCCAGGATGTGGATCTGCTAGAACGCCACTGACATTGGCCAGGCAACAGCTTTGAATTGATCTTGTCCTGTCTTGTCCTGGCTCCCTAAGCCTTGAGCAACTAAACTTTAAAATATTCACATTCTAGAATGTCAATCAAAATGCTACCCCAAAGTATAAGCTATCCAGTTTTGTATTTAAAAACCTCGAGTCTTTAAAATATATCTGAAATCCAATCATCTTCAAGTCACCGAACAAATATTTATTAGGCTCTTCTTATGTGTCAGAAATTCTTTTTGATGCTGAGAACAGCACAGACAGGGTTCCTGCTCTCAGGAGGCTTATACTCCAGTGAAGCTCCACAGACATTACACTAGTAAACAAATGTTGAACAATTCAAACTGGGGTGAGTGCTACTAAGTACGGGAATAGGCTGATGCGGTGAGATAAGTTATGACTCTAAGTTATAACTTAAAAACGCTGAGGAGACTCATTATTCAAACAAGCACGATTGGATATCCTTCCATAACATAGGTAATTTGTTAGTAACATCGAGAATTCTACATATTTGATGCATTTTGCTCAGAAGCTAAGTCTGTGTATAGCCATGCTTTTTAACTGACAAAAAATTGTATGTATTAACTGTGTACAACATGATGTTTTGAAGTATATATGCATTATGAAATAGTTAAATCTAGTTAATTAACAAATGCAATACCTCACAGAGTTGTTTTTCTGGTGAGAACACTTAACATCCTTTCTCTGCCTTTTTAAAATTAACTATAGATATTTTTCCTCTAATTGCAGCAGGAACAGACAACATGATATCTGTCCTCTTAACAAAATGTTAAGTGCATTGTATTGTACTGTGAACTATAGCCACTATTGCGACACAGTACACGTCTAGGACTTATTCATGTTGAATAACTGAAACTTGTGCACTTTGACTAATACCTGTTCCCCCTCCTCCAGCCTCTGGTACCACCAACCTATACTCTGCTTCTATGAATTTGACCATTTTAGATTCCTCATATAAGAAGTATGATGAGATAGGCCGGGCGCGGTGGCTCAAGCCTGTAATCCCAGCACTTTGGGAGGCCGAGGCAGGTGGATCACGAGGTCAAGAGATCGAGACCATCCTGGTCAACATGGTGAAACCCCGTCTCTACTAAAAATACAAAAAATTAGCTGGGCATGGTGGTGCATGCCTGTAATCCCAGCTACTCAGGAGGCTGAGGCAGGAGAATTGCCTGAACCCAGGAGGCGGAGGTTGCGGTGAGCCGAGATCGCACCATTGCACTCTAGCCTGGGTAACATGCGTGAAACTCCATCTCAAAAAAAAAAAAAAAAAAGAAAAAAAAAACAGTATGATGAGATATTTACCTTTGTGATGGGTTTTTTTTTTTTTTTTTAACATAGCATTCTCGAGGTTCATCCATGTTGTTGCATCTGGCAGGATATCTTTATTTATTTAAGGCTGAATAATATTCCATTGTGTGTATATGTACTATATTTTCTTCATTGATTCATCTGTTGATGGGCATTTAGGTTGGTTTTTTTTTCCCTTGGCTATTGTGAACAGTGCTATAATAAACAAGGGAGTGCAGATATCTCTTTGAGACCCTGATTTCATTTCCTCTGGAGATATAACCAATAGTGAGATTGCTGGATCATATGGTAGTTCTATTTTCAATTTTTTGAGAAACCTTCATAGCTTTTCTGTAATGGCTATACTAATTTACATTCCCACCAACAATATGCAAAGATTTCCTTTTCTCCACATCTTCACCAATACTTGTTATCTTTTGTTTTTCTTCATTTGCTTTCTGCGACATGATCTCCCTATGCTGTCCAGACTGAGGTGCAGTAATGGCTCATTACAGCCTCAAACTCCTGGGATCAAGCAATCTCACTCAGCCTCCTGAGTAGCTGGGACTATACGTGCATGCCAGTACTCCCAGGTATTTTTTAAAAATTTTTTGTAGAGACAGGGTCTCACTTTTTTACTCAGGCTGGTCCTGCATGCCTGATTTTAAATGATTCTCCCTCCTCAGCCTCCCAAAGTGCTGGGATTATAGGTGTGAGCCACCATACCCGGCATATCTTTTGTATTTTTGAAAATAGCCATTCTAACAGGTATGAGGTGATATCTCATTGTGGTGTTAGTTTATACCTCCCTGATGATTGGTTTACACCTCCTGATGACTACAGACACATAAAATGGTCCATGGATATTTCAAAAGACGCTTAACACCTTCCCACCCCTTGGCCATGGTGATTGGCTCAGCAAATCAGAGCCAATGAAACCCAGAAGGACATTGGATTCCTGTGGCCCAGATGCTTCTGGCCAAGTCCCAGTGTCCATTCACTTCTTGCATCAATGTGATGTGAATGTAAGACATAGAGTCAAAGGAGATCGTTTTGAAGATTTAAGATTTGACTGCCATGGATGATGGCAGGCAGGAGAGCTTGTGCAGGGACACTCTCCCTTACAAAACCATCAGATTTCATGAGACTTATTCACTTTCATGACAACAGCACAGGGAAGACCCTCCCCCATAAAACAATTACCTCCCACAAGGTCCCACCCATAACACATGGGAATTGTGGGAGCTACAATTCAAGATGAGATTTGATGGGGACATAGCCAAACCATATCAGAGCTCAGTTTTGTTTCTTACTCAAATCTTCACAAGTCTGACTTATTTTTGTAGTCTAGGTCATTAGATATTTTTCTTAGTGGCTAGTGGATATTAATAGTCGAAACATTTTATATGAAACAAGCTTGATTTTGTTTTTCAACATAGTGTATTAGCCCATTCAACAAAACTATACATAAAGCTAGGCAGCATTCCTAGTGAAAGATAATTCATCAGGAAGTTGTATACTAATGTGATTGCCACAACAATTCAACCTCGGGCAAAAAATTAACTCTCAATTTTCTTTGACACAATTACCTATATATTTCTCATCTTAAAAAATATATATATCAACATATTCACATTACAAAAAGAATTAAGAGGCCAGGCGCAGTGGCTCACGCCCATAATCCCAACACTTTGGGAGGCCAAGGCGGGCGGATCACAAGGTCAGGAGTCCGAGATCAGTCTGGCCAACATAGTGAAACCTTGTCTCAACTAAAAAAAATACAAAATATTAGCCAGGTGTGGTGGTGTATGCCTGTAATCCCAACTACTCAGAAGGCTGAGGCAGGAGAATCGCATGAACCCAGAAGGCGGAGGTTGCAGTGAGCCGAGATCGTAGCATTGCAGTCTAGCCCAAGTGACGGTGTGAGACTGTATCTCAAAAAAAATAAAATTAAGAAAAATAGTCCCCAAAGGATTTCCTTAGGACACACAAATTGTCTTTTCCACATTAAGTTTCTGTTTGGAATTGTGAAATGAGTCAACCTTGCAGTAAATGCTTTTCATCCCTTATTTCATTTAATCTTTTCAACAAACCTCTGACAGAATCGTCATCATCATCACGATCAACATTCTTATTCTTGCTCTATAGACAAG